CTCTATACCTTGGTTTCCTCATCGTAAATGGGGGTATTAGTGGTACCTATACCAGAGGGTTGTTATACAGATAAACTGAGTTACTATTTATAACCTGCTCAGGACAGTGTCTACCACCGACTAAGCACTGTATGAGTGGCAGCTATCATTATGGGATATTAATAACAGCAGCAAACACTGAACGCCAGCATGTGCCAAACGCAGAACTAAGCACTTTTGTGCACTAGATCTGAGTGCAGACAGGAACCCTGAAAAGAACCAGCGGAGGGGTACCATCACAGCCCCCTCGTGCAGACAGACAAGCTGAGACTCAGGCAGGTGGAGGTCCCGCGGCGAGACAACGGGGGAGCAGGCAGGACCAGGCTCCTGGCCCCCGGGCTAACCGACAGCAAGTGCACACTGCGGCCTCCCCGAGGTTAGCCCAGCCTCCTGGCTAGTTTTCAGCCTAATTTGAAGCAGCTGACATGTAGGGAAGGCGAGAGGCCTCGGACCTGTCACAAACGCACTGGGGGCTTACTTTCTCTGGCCTTCTGCTCTGACCAGGCCTGGAGGGCTAAATGTGCTCAAGTCTTACTCCATGGCGCTCTCATTCTCTGATTTCCCACCAAGGCCGGTGCGTCAAAGGAAAGGCAGAAGGAAGTGAGGAAGAAAGCAGTGTGGCTCTCAGACACTGGGGGGGTGGCTGGGGCCCAGCTTGGGGTGTGGCAGCGGTAAAGAAGGAACTAAGATTCCTGACTTATTAGCACCTATTATATGGCAGACATCCTACCAGATAAAAGATTAACAAAATCCTTGACAATGAGGCTACAGTCTAGTTACACAGACAGGGAAACTGAGGTTTGAAGGGGTAGCAGGAATTCAGAAAAGGCCCTGCAGACCTTCCCACGTCCCGATATCATCCCCTCTATCGAGGGACCAGACCTGCGCCCTGACTCTGACATTGGACCCCCTCCTCCCACATCTCCCTTTGCCTCTTCCTCTTGAGATCCATCCTCAAGGTGGCCCCAGTTAGTGGCCAAACCAAGATGAGGATCCAACAACAGCATCTGCACCAGAACCTTTAGGACAACAGATATTTCTTGTTATTGGAGCTGTAAGTGAAGGACCAAGGGACCACAAGGGCGGCCTCCCAGCCTTCCTCTTCTGCCCTCCCTGCCTGCACTCACTCCCAAATCCACAGGTGGACCACAGGACCATTCCACTTTCTTCTCCTGCTTTCCAATCTCTGTCCTTGGCCCTTCAAGCATTTCCTTCTCAACTGGCAACTACCCCTGTCTGGAGGGAAGGAAACACTGCAAGGTCAGTGTGGGAAGAGGCAGTGAGAAATCTGAAGCCCAGAGAACAGCCTGGAGGAGGAGCCGCCAGCTGGCAAGCTGCGTTTCGGAGCTCCTGAGCGGACATCAGTGGCCAGGGCTCTGGATGTGCCTGGGTGGGCAGGTGAGGGAACCCCGAAGGCCAGCAGCTCTACCCCCACCCCAGAAGACTGCGGAAGGCTCTACCCCCACCCCAGAAGACTGCAGAAGGCCTGACAGACGGCTGCCAGGCCTGATTCGACCCCCAGGCCTCAATTTAATTCTGTTCTGACTCTGGAGGCTGGCTGCAGTCTTCCCTGACCAGCCCCATTCTGAGTTCCCAGTTCTCAGGTTAGCCTCCCTTATCTCTTGCCTACACCCCCAGCACTCCTTTAAACAAATGCAAATCAGAAATACCAGTCATTGCATCACGGCTGCTGACTGCTTGCTAAACAACCAGGGAACAGCTCTCTCCTGAACGAGTAGGGTGTGTGGGGGGGTACAGTGTGTGTTTGGTTTTCTTCTACCATGTTTTTTTTAAACCTTAACAGGGTTTCTGGAACTTTAATGTGCTTATGAATCTCTCGGGGATCTTTTTAAAATGTAGATTCTGCTGCAAAGGGTCTGGGGAGGGGCCTAATATTGAAAGCAGGTCCAAAGAGCACACTGAGTAGCAAGACTCGGGAACACTGAGCACTGAAGTCTCGAGCAGGGGCTCTCGTCAGAGGGGAGCGTCAGATTCAACCGGAGGGTTTTTCAAAATATACACCCCTGGCCTCCTGCTCCCTTCACCAAGGCAACGAATCTCTGATTCAGCAGGTCCAGCGTGGGTGCAAACACGGGTATTTCAAAGCAGCCTCCAATGGTTTAGATTCACCTAACCCCCTGCAAAAACCGGTTGCTGACTATCGTGAGCCTAATGGTAACACCTAACGTTGACCAAGCAGTCGGCGCACGGACACCAGAACACTCCCCGGGCTGGTCTCACACCCGGAGAGGAGGAAGACGGCGGGTACCCTCCCTGCTGCCCCACAGGGAAGAAACAGGCTCAGAGAGGCCCAGCCCCTGGCGCAGAGGTGAGGTACAGAGAAACCCGACGGCTCCACACCCACCTGGGGCCTAAACTGCTCCGGGGCTGCGAGGCAAGCGCTTCCTCCTGCCTCCTAGGGCCTGCTCGGAGGGGAACAGGCCGTGAAACACATCTAAAATGACACACTTGAAGTTAGTCCCCAAAACACGAAAGTGGCATTCCAACGGCTGACCCTGCTGTGAATCGCTTCTATTTTTAATCAATAAATAAGAAAACGCTTAGTGCAAAGTTTGAGCAGCTCTGGGACGGGGGACAGTGTATTATTAGACTGCAGATTGGAACAGGTGGTGATTCTTTTCCGGAAGAATCTAAATACCACGTAGCCTTGGACGTGCACGCACCCTGCTCGGCCTGTTTCCCCATCTGTGAGGAGCTAAAGGAACTCTACAGCACTTTCCTGCCCCTAAACTCTGTTTTCCAAGGAAAGGAGACGACCTCTCTGTTATTAGGGAGATGGCCACCGCCTTTCTATAAAGGCAGCTTTAGAGGCAGCTTAGTGCTTGCAGCCTCAGGCCAACGCAGCAGGAACGGGAATGCAGGACTGAAGTATGAAGCACAAAGCTGATAACTGAGCACCACTCAGAAGTTAAGACCAAACTCTCCGAAGCTCTAACTTAAGTGTGTGGAGGATGCAATTTCATTTACAATTATTATTCAAGAAACACACGATGCTGTAAAGTGTGGTGCCGGGGACAGCTTCCATCCTCCGGGGGTACGGGCTCATCTCAGAGTCGGGACTGACCAGACACCTGTCCACAGTCCAGGGCACCTCTTGCTGTCCCTAACGCCAGGGCGAGGGGTTCCCAGCTGGCATCCTGGGAGACTCACCTTTTAAAGGACGGCTCTGCAACCACCCCCAAGCTGTGAGCTCTGACGTGGCCAGCCAGAAGGTGTGGGTCAGAACTGGGGCTCCAGTCTAATTCTGCCCAAGTGAGAGGCAGACGTGGGGTGCTCCCAGGCAGCTGTGTCTGCCCAGGACCCAGCCCAGCCGGGCAGGCGCTCCAGCGGCAGAGCTGGCTTCTGGTAAACCCTGGAAGGCTGCAGCTGGATCCTCCAGTCCTGGCAGATAAGGGGCAGGAGGAAGCGGTTGGGAGATAGGTGTCAGTGGCGGCTGCTGCTCTGTTCCCTTTCCCAATGCCACGTCAACACCTCTGACCTCCATCTTCGGTCTGCCACGCAGGAAGAAGGGGGATTTTCTCCAAATCACAGCCCATGAATGTGGAATTTTTTAAAGAATGTGTGGGAGTAAAACAAGAAATGGAACTGAAGATCTTTCTTAGCTAAAGGACAAGAGGGTGGGCCCAGCCCCTCCACCATCACCGACTCAAATGTGTGCTCTGCACCCCTTCCTCTGTGTTCCGGGCCCTCTGGACAAACACCCCTACACAGGTGCCAGTCGGACCCCTCATCACAAGCTGCGACATGCATGTGTCCCCCTCAGGGCTGGACAAGGGACAAAACCCACAATGTCGGCTCTGACGCCTTTTCCCTCTCTAATCTCAGAGAATCCCTTTTCCCAACATCTCATCAGGTATCCAACCTGGGTCCCTGGGACCCAAATCGCGTGCTGGAGCCACCGCATGCAGGGCTGCATAC